ATCTCTGTGTTTTAGGAAAGGGGGCGGCTTCTGCACGGCTCAGGAATGTGGGAAAAAAAAAGATCTGAGTGTTTTTCTCTCTCTCATAAATAAGTCTCACTTGTCGGAGACGTCGAGGGATTCAAAAAATCATATTTATCTCGTTTAAGTGTGTTTTTATTTACCACAACACAATGTCCGATAAAATTTTATTCAAAAAGGCCCAAACGTGTTTTTTTAGCTGATCAGTCACCACCCCTGGTTTCTTTCATCCTGCTCTGACTCATGGTCTCACTTCATATCTTCTGACTGTATCTACATTCCCACTGAACGATCATTTGGCTCCGCTCACACTCTCATCCCCGGTGGCTGATGTATCCATCTGCGCCTGCGACGGGCCGCTAATCCTCGACAACTGTGCCCCTCTGGCACCATATCCGTTGCACTGCTGGTTGTGTGATACAATGGGCTCCCCTCCTTTGTCCTTGAAATTGTTTTAATTAGCCCCACGGTGGGGGCGGGGGTCGCAAACATAAGACTGACTCAGTGGGGACTGAGGAAATTCACAGGAGCATGATACCACAGAGACCTGGAGGTGACAGACACGCGTTTGAAACAGATCAGACCAGTAATGAAATAGATAAAAGTCACACATCAGGATCCAGAGCGGCTTTTTCGATGACAACACATTAATTCGATTAACCTTGGACCTCAGTCTGTTTGGTACATGCAACTTTTCAGAACATTTTTATTAAAATTCATTAATTTCAAACAAACCGAATCATTCTGAACTTAACGTCAAAACTGTACATGTTTGTTTCTGGTGTAAAATTCATAAAGATTTTCTTTTTATGAGTTTATATTAATGTTTACGCACGAACATACCACTGCAAATTCCTTATCCCTGTGAACCCACCTGGCAATAAACCCCCAATTCTGTTTCTGGTGTTGAGACACTTGGACACTTGCATCACCCTCACAGGAGAAATGAAATGTTGTGTAACACCAAGAGGACAATTTAAGAAGGAGACAAATATTTCCAGCCTGAAAAACCTGCTGCAGAACTCACAATGAGACACTGGTCCCCCAAAACTAATTTCTCAAATGTTATCTGCAGCTCTTATTGCAAAACTCTCAAACCTGTTGTGCTTGTTGGTCCATGATTCACTAAACAAATGCAGTGTGTGTGTCTGTGTGTGTGTGTGAGAGAACATCCATGTGTAGCGTTAGATAAGCCACAGCCACATGCGATCACTTGTCCCACCACCACACTCGCAGCGTGGACCACCAGGACCTCCCAGCAGCCGGTCAGTCGGCCCGCAGCGAGAGGTGACAAGGAGCCGTTTCCAACAGGATCATGTGACTTCTTTAACGCCACTATAATCCAATATCCAAGTCTTTTTGTGTTACTTCATCTCTGTGAAGTCACATCAGCACCGAGAGAGAAGCAGCTGTGATTCAGAGTGTTTGTGTTCGATCAGAGTAAATGTGTGTGGATGAGAAATGGAGGCAAGAAACTCACTTTGGTCTTTTTATGTAACCCCCCCCCCACCACCAGCCCCACCACCACCTTCCAAAATCAGCTCTCCCAAGTCAAACACACCCATCCCCCCCTCACGCTGTCCTCCTCTCCCTGCCCCATGGGAGGAGGGGTGGTGGAGAGAGAGTCAGATCCCAAACCATCTGAATCCCTTTTAACTAAGTGGCCAGAGAGGAGTAAGGGCAATTATTCCACCATGGTGCATTCCTTTTCAAAAGAGGACACCATCACTGCTCAACACATGGAATGCAAGCTGTGTTATGGGCACTGAAGGCATGTCACATCCTCCCGCTGCTCAAAAACTGGAGATGTGCATCAGAAACGGCCAAACAGGTGCTCGCAGAGGCATTTAGTGCTGTGCGCTCAGTGGGAGAGACCACGCAGGCGGATGTGTTCAGAGGCTTCTCTTCGGTTAAAGTGCAATTACCACATTATGCGAGTAATTAATTGCTAGAGTTAAAAGCACAGTAGTCGTGAGCGTAATCTGCAAAAAGATTCAAAAGTAGAAGAATTGAAGATATAGAAACGATCTGGTTTTAAAATACATTTTGTCTCATATAAAGTGATATATATATATATATGTGTTACCAATTAACTGTTGTGCAATAATTTAAGCATATAAGAGCTTTATGTACTATTGTATATTTAATTTACAACACTGCATCATGTTTTATGAGATAATCATGTTACCAGGACAAACAGTTAAATGTAGGGGTTCAGAATATACAGTATTTTGATGTGAAGCAAAGGAAAACTTAATTTGTGCTGTATTGTTACTGCACATGGATACTTCCCAGTACTGTTTATGACATGCAGACGTTGTCTATCTGCAAATAAACATCACTAAACTCTGAACTTTCATTTTTCACTTATTGTAGATAAACAGAGGTTAAACAGATGTTCCCCCGAACAAAAACAATCATTTTAAAAATTGAATCTTTATCTTATGTGGTGGGTCAGTTTCCAGGGATTGTGATGAACCTCGGTCTGGATGTGGAGCTTTGGAACAGACAGAGTTAAAGATTAATAAAGTGTTTTGCGATGAGGCCCCTCCTCATACAAACTGCCTCAGGGAAAAGATGCTGGTTAGTTTTCAGCCGTCATGGTTATGCTAATTAAAAGAAACTGGAGACGTTACATTCTAGGCTGCGTGGAATTTGAGATGGCATTTTCTACTCCCCCCCCCCCCGACACCTTTCATAATCACTTCATTGAGAAAGATAAGAAAAGAAAGTTCGTCGGACAATGAATCAAGAATGTTCTTTGGTATTTCATCTTGTGTGTCTCCGTCGGGGGGGCGGTGTGAGACGCATCCTTCGTATATAATCTCCATCTCGTGTTTGCATGAATGTTTATCTTGGAGAAGGACGTGTTTTTTTAATCTTAAAGTTTATTCTCATTTCCCCCTGATCCAACTCAAGGCTTTGAGGACGCAGGGAGATTGGAAACTGTACGGATTGAAAAACCTCTTCAGGTGAAATTGATTTGTGACGTTAACACAATTTATCTTGACTTCATTAAAAAAAACACCTGCACATTAACACCCATACACTAATCGTCGTTTAGCCTGACGACCCATGTCCCACCTGTAGCCTGTTGGGTATTGATCGCTCCAGAAAACCCTGTGAGCTCCACTTCCTCCGCGGCGTTTAATGGAGCTCATCGTCTCCAAAACCAATTCTCTCAGCGTTTCCCCTGAAACTGGACACTCGTGTCCATGCATCATCCAGCAGCACCTTTCTTAGGAAGCGACTGGAGCATGGAGCGGGAGCTTTGGGACTTCTGCTTTAAAAAGAGTGAGACAATGAGCTCAAGACAAATTTCCATCCGAGCAGCTGTGTGGTGGACAACACTTGCCTTTGTCCCGTCCGTCCAGCGGCCACATGCGGGCTGTCGTGTGCTCCACGATTGTCTTGGATTTGTTGTTGAACCAAACAGGTTCTCACGTGTGTGAAAAGCTTCGCTCAACCTCAACGTCATCTGTGATCATCTCACTCGGAAGATCTGGAATGTCACTCAGTGCGGTCCCCACTATGAAATTCACTATATCCGGAAATCTGTGAACATTTTGACAAACATCTCTCATATCTGTCCCCTGATCCAGATCTTGGGGACGTCCCTCCACCAAATCTGACGGAAATCCGCTCAGTGATTCTTTGAATTAGAATTCAAATCAGGTTTTAGATCTTAAACTTTGTCTAATGACAGAAGATGGTGTTGCTCTCCGCTGTTGGAGACAACTCTCAGCAATTGAAGTGATGAAGTTCGATGCTGAGCTTTAAACTTTTCTTCAGACGTACACTGAATTCTAGACATCTACCTGAAATGTCCCAGAGGGGCCGTGTGTGACAGTGGACATATCCCAGTGGACATTTCCTGGAAAACTCACGGTGGGCGTGTTGATGACGTTTCTGAAACTGGAGGAGCTGAAATATGTCAGGATGAAAAAGAGGAGCCATGCACATAGAAGACTGAGACCAAGATGAAAAGCTAAGAGCCGCCAATTACTTTTTGTTTCTGCCTCCAGCTGCTCCACCCAGACTCCACCCTTCACCTGCAGGTCCCAGAAACGTTCCTGTTGTTTTGCATGAGGACGATCCTCAGCTGCGTTCTTCATATGAGATACTTTTGTCTGAAAACGGCTTTAAACCGCTCAGTCAACAGACATTACTTCATAGCGACAGGCAAAACTGACCCACGCAACATGTCTGCGTTTGAAACTGGAGGAATTAGCTGCAGATCTCTGTCGTCTTTATGTCTCAAACCAAAACCCCACAGTGTCTGTATTGTGTTAACAGGCAGATTCTCAGCGCTGACACACAGACAGCGGCTGGCTGAATGCGTCTGTGCGATAAGTCCGAGCCTTTCATCCTCTGGACGTTTGGACGCAGACGAAGACGGGTCGGGGTTAATGACAGGCTGTCGTTGCACCTTTAATGTACAGCGTGTTGAGTAAAGGCTGTTTGCTCGTCCACACGTGAGGGTTCTCGTTTCAAAGGCCGACCTTGAGATGAATGGGTTGTGGGGAAAAAAAGGGAAAAGCATTCCTCATATTTTCCTATGATGAAGACAAGCACGTGCATTAAAAATGTATTTGAATATCTTTGTTACACGTCCCACACCAGGGTGGGTTTCATATTCCATATCTGTGCAGCCCACTCCTCTCCTCTGCCCCCCCCACCACCACCACCTCCAACAAAGAAACTAAGTATGAACAGCGTTTCCTTTTTGAGAAGTCTGACTGTAACGGAATACTTGTTAAAAAGAGAAGAATGTGCTTTAATTTGTCAAGGGGATCTGAGCTGACAACTTTAGTAAAGTCCACTATAACAACCTTCCAGGGCCCCTGACCTAGGGAGGGAGTGACCCCTGACCTTATTTGGGCCTCTTTTATGAGGACCTTTTTTTTTTTGGCTCCGGCCAGATGGCTAAACTATCAAAGGGTTTTTTTATGAGAAAAATCTGCAGGCAAGAGTGGAGTAGTATATTTATCTCATTGTGTGCAGAGCGAAGCCTCTGAGGTGAGTCGAGAGAGGACGGGATGCACAGGAAGGTAAATATGTAAATATAAGAATAATCATTCATATGTTTTATCCAGAAGAAATTTGTTATTTTTCATCTCAACTTGTTTTATTTTTCATATTTATCTCAAACGCAACCACATTCGTCCATCATCCAGGATCCCAACCTCAGATATTACGCCACACACTGGGTTTGAACATGTTTCCTCCGTGATTTTTCATCAGCAGCGTTATCGCCACCGTCCTTGAACGCTATAGCAACCGCAGCACACTAGATATTGATTTTATGTCATAGGCAGGTGTCTGTCAATATCGAATGAAATGAAAGGGCGGTTGTGTCTCTGATAATCATTTTAAAACCAGTGTTTGAAAAGATCTGATGTGACAATCACCGGAGAGCACAGACGAGAGCGAATAGGTGGAATTTGCGAGTTTGGGAAAAGGGAAGAGTTGTGTGTCCCAGGGTCCCTGTAACTCGCTCCGCTCTCATCACTCATGTGGCGTCTTTATGAGCGATGGGCTGTTTTGTTGGATTGGGTTTCTGGGGAAGCATTTAGGGCTCGTCTGTGAGCGGAGCCAAATCAAGAACCCCGGCATAAAGCCTGAATGTTTGATGTGCGGGCAGATCAGCGCGTGTTTGCATGAATCTGACTTTTAACAATTTCATGCGAGCTGATGATAAAGAACCAGTTTTTTTCCACCGGGCCCTGCAGGGAGCATGGGTCCGAGATACGCAGGCGAGTATTCACACAGCTGTTGGAGGCATTACCTGTTTGCTGCTCTCCTCGGCTTCTCCCTGTGAGCCCACTCATCATCGCTCCTCTGACTTGCGTACGAACAGGAGCCTGATCACTTCCAGAGATGAGTTGGAGGAGGATGCACAGGAGGTTCGACAGTTCCAGAGATTCAAATATGTAAAGATTTGACTTTTCATTTCCCTCCTGACAGTGTTTTCATTTTTCCCCCCGCCCGACGCAGCGAGGAGAGGTCGATCAATCATTTTTGGAAAGTCTCTCGCTCTAATCGTATCTAATGGAGTAACCCAAGCTGTCGTCGGCCCGCTCGTTTTAATGTGGCCGCGCCTTCTCTTGATTGCGCTCAGAGGTCGAGCGAGATCTGAAGTCACTGGAAGCAGTTAAAATAATAGCAGCTGACCATGTGTTTGAGGTTATGAGACGGGAAGGGACGGCCCCTTTTTACACAGAGCCAAAACAGACCACTGCAGTTCACCTCCACACGATGATGAAGTGAAATTTATGAGGGTTTTCATCCGTCGTAATTAACCGATCTCTGTGCTGTGTGCAGGGTGTGAGGGATTATGGGTATTATTTTTGACAGCGTGCAACACATTTGAGCTCTTTAAAGCTGTTTTTTTTTTTTAAAACATCCGACTGAATGTTTGAATTCCTCGTGTTTTTGTTTACTGGACATCGACACCAGCGCTGGTGCTCGTCGACTTTTGACACATTTGCCGCCAATTTTTTCCCGTCGTGCTGCGTGTTGGACACGTCATCAACACGCCCACAGCGAATCCTGCCGAGGATCTCATGCAGTTTTCTCACATCAACTCAAAACTTGCATCTGACATTTTAAAGGAAAGATACTTCAGCTAAAACTGGGGGAAAAAAGAAATCCACACTAAAAACTAAATCTCTTCTGGATTGGATGCAAAATAACAAACACACACACACACACACACACACACAAACAAACACTGACTTACACACGTGTGCTCCAGAAAAGTGTCTCCACCCATTTTCATTCAAGACAGTGTGTGTGTGAGGGAGGCGGAGCCAGTAGTTACCTGAAAGTAGTATGGGTCCCCGACTGAGCACAGCAGGCGTCTGCACAGGAAGCCGCTCGTTTGTGTGACTCGTGTTGTTATTGTGATATTTCACTAAATATCCAGATTCTTAAAGACCATGTCCATCATGAAGAAGTTCATTAACATGTTTCCCTTTATGAGCCTGAGGTCGACTTCACAGTTTGACTTGTGTGTCTTGCAAATGAGCTAGAACCGGTATTATGAGGGGAGCTCCTTCACCGTGATGTGTTTTTTTTTTTTTTTTTTTTCAGTTTCAGTGTTAAATCTCCTAAAGTTTTGAACACAAAGACCCCTGAGCGCCGGCCAGCCCACCCTGCAGATGGCCGGAGGATCAGAGGCTGTCAGCACGCTTAAACGAGCCAAGAGTCGAGGCTTCAGCCCTGCGGGGGAGGACACAGCCTGAATGGGGTATTTCCACCAAACTCTAAAGCCCCCCACTGGGCATTTGTAAAATGATTTGTGGCAAATTTGTTTAATCAATATGGATGTGGGGGTTTGGGTGCCCTCCTCGGACAGGATCCTTTCTTCCCCCCTCTTTTCTCTCTCACTTGTAAATGCATCAGCGGTCACAATGTATTAAGAAACCTCAGGCCTGACTCTGGGTTTTGTTTGTCCCCGTGTGAGTGCGATACTGAGGGGGAGGCATATCTGGGAGGAGAGAAGTTATTGATCAACGCAGGACTTGTCAAACGACACAGTGATTCAAACAAGTCGTACGAGTTTGGACACTTCACGCAAAGACTTTTGGCTTTTCTGAGTCAAGAGGATACAGAGATTTGAGGCGACGCAAATAAAACACTACAAGTTCTGAGACAGTAATTTAAGGTGTAATCTCATCTTAACTTTTCAATTTGAGTGAAATTCAATATTTCTTCTGTGGAATCTTGATGGTTTTCATATACGCTCTTTACAGTGTATATAGAATTTATATTTTTTACTTATTTATTTCTGATGCTTCTTATTTTTACTGTATTCTGCTTGAACACGACACATCTCTCTGTATTGGGTCGAATAAATGTTTATCTTTCTTTATCGTTCGAGTTGGGAAACGTGTTTTATTACTTGGGTGAATGTGTTTCTCCTCTTTTTGCAGGAGACTGGCAGGTGGCTTCAATCCAATTCAACCGTGACTAAGGACAAAGACACTGTCGGGTTTTCTCCTTTTTGTCTAACTTGCGATTTACAGTTGCGCCCCCCCATAAAGTAAAACACCCTCTTTCTCTCTCACACACACACACTCTCACTTTAGTTCTGCTCAGTGTTTTCACCAGAGGGCGTCTTCAAGTGGAATTATCTTGGGTAGAAAATAAAAAGAAATAATAATTAAAACAAACAGACACAGCTCTCTGTTGTCATTCAGTATTGAAGTGAACTGTCTTTGCCTGCTCTGTGTTATCTGCCCCCCGTTTATCCACCTGTTGCATCTGTTCCCCCCGTTATTTTATTTCCACTAAAACTAACTGTGCTATCACAGAAGCCTGGAGCTCCTCCTCACTTCCTGGCTGCTCTGCCCGATTATTATTTGCCGGCCCGCTGGACGTTTCTGGCACTTCCTCTGGATTTGTTTGCCTTTTCAAACCCTGCACCGCACATAAGAACGTTTGTCACACACTTTTCACCCCCGCTGAGCTGAATAACTTCAACAGGCCCTCTCTCTCTCTGCTACTTCCTATCAACGCCGCGCTACCGGCGCTCACCGCACCACAGTTCCTGGACAGATGTTGGCAGAATTCCTAATTTCATTCTCATTCTCTCAGCCTGTCAGTTTTGAAAGGGGGAAGCAGGACAGAAAATAATCGGCAGAACATCCTATAAGTCTGAGTGTGGGGGCAGCAGATGTGGGTGTGGAGGGAGGGGGTGGTGGTGGCGGCCACTGGGCCTCCCCAAGGCCCATCTGACCATTGTTAAGCGGAGAAGCCATTTCTGTGGTTGCTATAACAACCAATATACACTCTTATCCATGTCCCTGCACAACACGCATGACAGCAGCGGCTCTGATTCTTTCAGCCGACGCGAAGGAGCCGGAACACAAACCACGTCTTTTAATTGATATGGAAATGTGGAAAAACTTGTTTTTTTCCCACCAAACCTCGTGGAATCAACAAGAAATTGTTTTCAAGGGTTAAAAGTTACAAAACTTTCTCCTTCCAGGAAGTGGGAGACGATTTTAAGTGAGTGTGAATACAGTGCAGGCAGAGGCTGCGGGGATTATGAGTTTCTTTCAGCCGTCACAGAGGGCCGTCAATACTTCTGAGGTCCGCAGCTGTCTCTGTCAATGGCTGCTGTAAACCTACATGGAAGAGGCTGAAACCCCACCAGGTGTCTCTCAGTGTTTGAGCCCCACAACAACGACCACAGTCGCTGTCAAGTGCTTTATTTTTTCATTTGTGTTCAGGTTTGAGCTCCTTCAGCCCCCGAGGGAACTTCTGAGAGGAGTAAAGCTTCGTGCTTCACCGAGCATTTTAAATATTGTTTCACTGATCCGATTGATAAAGTCTGAATCATGTAAACTACATTTTCTGAATAAAATTTATATCATGCTTTTGTTCTGAATATGAGCAATGAAAATCCTTGTGTGTGTGTGTGTGTGTGTTTGCGTGTGTGTGCTACATTCATCAATGTGTCATCAGCGTCAAACTTTTTGCTCCAGTCACTTTTCCATCTGGCTCCACAAACCTTCATCCATCAGTGTGAACGAGCCCAACATGTGTCGTGCCTCCCTATAAACCAACATCACATATTCTTTAAAAACAACAGTCGAACTCATGGATTCATTAAGTCGACACGTTCGTGTTCATCTTTTCTAAAAAAAAAAAAAAAACTAAATGTCCCAGAATCTGAATGTGTTTGTATTAAAAAAACAAGGAAAGACGAAACCAAATGGATGTTGTGTCATTTCAACTCATCGTGGTTGTTTAAAAAATACATCAATAAAGTTGAGTTTCAGGTTCTTTATTCTCTCCAGACATCTAATCTGCAGGATCCCAGCGCCCTCATCTGAGATGAAGACATGTCAAGGCAGGAGTCGGCCGCACTGCTTTTGTGTAAGTGTTTCGTTCTCATAAGCTAATTAGAAGTGAGGGAGGACTGATGTCCTGCAGCCCCTCCGCTCAGGACTTCCCACCCTGTAAATGTTTATGACCCCGGCCCAGATTGGATCTCAGATTTGAAGGATCGGCCCCCCCTGTTGACTCACAGCTTGATGGTGACTACTGAGCTCGGCCTATCTCTTTGTTTATTGTGTCTCAAATTCCTCAAGTTTGACGTCTTCATCCCCAAAACTGCAAAATCTGATTAATACATATATTTTTTTTTTTTTAAAAAACATTTCTTAAAGTGTGTTTTTCTCTGTGATATGCGTCTTCACAGACTCGTCACAGCGGCTGATCAGGGTGAGAAGTGGACCCAGTGGGGTTCTCTTGATTCCCAACACTCTATTGTTTATTGATGGAGGCAGTTGTCGTAGTCACGCAACAACAAAAGCCTGACTATTGCTGTGTTTACCTCTGCACAGGAACCACTGGGCAATTCTCCATTAAATTACAGCCATGTGTGGGCCACTGATCTCTCCCCTCACCCGCTGCACCACAGACACACACACACTCTCAGGGTTCAGGAGGATATCAGACTGTTACCGCCTCTATTAACCAAAAACCTGCTTTGGCTTTCTCGCTGTCTCGTCAACATCTGTGTGGAAATGTTACAAGTCACAGTAATCTTTAAGAGACGTTCTGCCCCAAAACTAAATTAACCCCAAAAACAATAATCCATGACCGGAGCAGAAGTTGTTTGTGGAATGCTCCGGCACCTAATTCCCCCCCTCCCTCAGCCCTCTTCATTCAACGGTGTGAGACAAATAAGCAGTCATCTTGTTATCTCTCGGCTCACAGATCTAGTTTAAAGACAGCCATTCATACTTCCTGTTTCACCCTGGTGCTACGACCGTTTCCAGCCAAACTATTAACATGCAAACGATTCTGGTCGATTTGATTTTGTGTCTCTGAGGCTGTCGCGTTTTAAAGCTATTTAAGACATTATACAATGATCTGTTGTGAGTGATATGTTGAGTTTAATGTGGTTTTACTGGTTTGCAGTTTCTTTTTTTTTAAATGCTCAATATTTCATCTTCTCACACAGAATTCATGCACTGAAAATTGTGTTTAATTGACAATAAGGTGACAAACCTTCACGTCATTCATTAAACGGATGATTATCAGTAAACTTTGGGACGTTGTGACGTCATGGAATCACACTCATATGATCACAACTTAAATTCACTGTTAAACTGAGTACATGAAAAAAAAAAAAAACTCTACACAGAGGCAAACAAATACTTTAGAAATTTGAATTCATTGCACAAAGTCGTACCTGCTGTGTAACCATGCTCCCAGTTAACCTGCAGGTTTACTTTGCAATAATCCTTTTTCAGAAACAGCAACCATCAACGTGTGAAAAACAATATTGGTGCAGCAGACAAACATCCAATACCTTTCACCTCGATGCCCTCAGTCTCTATTCTAGGCTGATGTAACCGAACAAAGGACTAAATACATGTGTTCATGAAAAGAAGGACATTTGAAAGGGTGTTTGCTGATCAATAATGAAAACAGTCTGACGCTACAGTAATTGCCGAGAGCCTCCATACTTGTATTTGCTGGATAATGCCATGTTTAGATAATCGCTGTAAACAAAGTGTTCCAGGGAGAACTACTGAATAGTCTTCACGACGCGATCACAGAAAAACAAGACGCATCGATCTTCCACAAGTGAAGCGCATGTTGTGATATGACTAATGTAAATGGAGGGAAAATACAGGTCGTCAGAGAATCAAGCGAAGGTCACTGGGACTGTTTTCATCTCAGCATTACTTACACTTTCCATGGGAATCAAGTGAAGAACTTTTCCCTTTGTCCTTTGTGTGAGCTCAATGACCTTATTTATGACTGCAGGGGACAGGGGGACAGGGGGACAGGGGGGGGGGGGCACCTGAAGAAAACCAACACAGGATCAAATAATCAAACAGGATCCAGCAAATACATTGATGAGCACGAGCAAGAGACTGGTGGAGCGTTGAGAGGAAGAGTATTTGTGGCAATGAAATGGTGAGAGACGAGACGTCTGGCTGCGTTTTCAGGAGTTTACATAGAAAACTGTTGTGTTCATTGTGATAAATGATGATAAATGATGTCGTGTGTGTGATTTGAATGTCTCAGGATCTCATGAATGTGACACGAGTTCTGGTTTCAGGGTTTTATATCCAGAAATAGTTGAATTAGAGAAAAAAAAAAATACACCATTCAAATAAGTTATGTTAAAAAGGTCAAACGTCTTGACAGTGATTAGTACATTTTATAGTTTTTGTGTAGGTTTAAAGTTTCCACTTCACACTTGAATCGACAAAATTTCACATTTCAAGGTTGGAATGTCGCAATATCGTGTTTTTAGGCAACAACTGAGAAAATAGTCTGAAAACTAAGTGGAAATACAGAATCGTGCACAGATGACACGACAAAATGTCACGAAGATCTGAAAACACTCAAATCAAATATCCAGTCCAGGGACAATATTCAGTGTGTGTGAAATCTGTATTTTCATAAAGACGTTAAAGACGTAACAATATTCTGACTTCAATAACAGACTGGTGGTTTGTCTCTGATCTGGTTCATCAACGCAAATAAACTTTAAATCGATAAAATTTTGTATTTTAAGCATCTTGTGATGTCTCAAAATCTTCAGCTCAGATTCAGAGCAAAGACAAAGTCTTCTTATTCTTTTCTCCGATGAGGAAATCGAACACTTTTAGTAAAAATAAAATAAAAACACGACGCTCGTTGTCACACTGATGTGAAATTGCTCCTGTTCCCAAGTTGCTCTGGAGCCTTTCATCTTTTACTGAGTCCTAAAAAACACATGTTCAATCCACAATTCCTCCGCAAGTGTCGGGCTGTTATTGTTTGTCCACCGCAAGGTCGTCAAAGTAAAGTGCGGCAAATGACACATCTGTGAAACTTAACGTCTCTCATTCTCTTGTGTAAACTTCAGAAGGAATCTGTTCAGGATACAGAAAAATATAGAGAATACGTCTTGAAGGTCGTTTTCCAAGCCGCCGTATCGGCCTGTTGTGAGGCCTTTCGTGTGCGACCCGTGTAGGTTGACTATTGTCGCCCGGTCAAGGACGCGGCTTTGTGTTTGCTCTGTGCGCTCGCTGCAACATGCCACTTATCGAAAGAAGAAGAAGAAATGACATAACTGAGATTGACCAGCGCAGAACGATCAGAATGGGTGACTTTGACAAAAGGGAGAGAAAAGCCAAGGACCCCGTGGGTTTTGTGTGTTGTGTGGCTTTTAACAAACGAAGTACAGAGCAGCCAGATTGACTCCCATCCGTTCGTTTTCATCGCCGTCGTGTTATTTCATCTTTACTGTGTCAGCGTTCTCGTTCTATTTTTCCCGAAGACAGATAGGTGGCACGGCCGACGTCCCACTGGTTCCCACACGCTGCACTTTTACGACCGCACACAGTTTGAGTTGCTCAGATTGAACGTGGAAGAAGCAGAGTATTCAAGCATAGTTTGTTATTGGGGCAATAAAGCGTCTAGACAGAACTCCCCTCTTTTTTTTTTCCACCTTCAGCCGAGGCCTTTAAAGGACATTTGTTTATCTGAATATATTGGCTCGTCTTTGTCTCGCACTTATCAGCTGCTGGATTATATAACACACAGAGGTATTTTAAACTGAGAGCCATCTGTAACGAGGCCGTTATCTCGTACGGTTGTTTGTTTTAATCAATCTTTTGAATGATAGTTGCAAGTAACTGTTTTCGTTTTCTGTTTATGTTTGAACTCTTCACATAATGTCGCCAGTGTTTTTATTCTAAATGATCAAAATTAGAGAAACCGTTAGTCGGTATTTCAGAAGCCGGTCACTTTCTCTGACTGAGACCAAAAATATTTTCAGTGTGAAATGACAAAAAGTCCCATTTTAAAAGGTCTGAAACTTACTAAACATGTGATTTCAGCTGTTAAATGATAATCGAACCAACTCATCTATTTAATTCAGTTTTATTTAAATTGCACCAACTCACAACAAACATTGTCTGCGGGCGTTTTTTACTTATTGAGGTTCGAGAAATTAAAATATCATAGAGAAACCAAACAACAGTGCCCACAACAATACTGGCACAATCAACACATTCATTCAGTTCTTTTAAACATTTGGATTCATCTTCACACTTTGTCTCTATTATATCTGAAATGTGAATTGTGCTTTAGAAATGAATTTGCTTGAATGGATGAATTAATAAAAGATGAATGAATTTACTGCGTCTGCTGACACTTGGATACTTGATACTCTGCTCTACAAACAGGTATGTGATTTTTTTTCTTTCTATATAATTAACGAATCTAAAACAGACTCTCAGCTGACTCCTCCGTGTCATATGGTCCCGTTCCAAAATACGAATCCTGAAAATGAAAAGTACAATTTAAAAAAATGTGTGTTTTCAGGCTGGGGACATAAATACCTGGAGCTGCACCAGAGTGACACACACTTTCCATTTAACACGTGAGGATCTTCACGCTCACAGATTTTTAAAAGTGCACTTATTGATTTCCGCCCGGTCACTGTTGTGTTCAGTGTTTTTGGATGATGGAGTCTGTTCGGACACAAACAGGAGGTGATCGCTGTCTGCTGCTCTGAAATAAAGCTTTTATTCCACTGGTGTAAATTCTCTTCAGTCATGTGTGGTGAACTTCCTGGAATGTGTTTGGTTCACAAACCGTGTCCGCAAGGTGAATGTTGATGAGAAGCAGAACCAACAACATCGTTCCAGCATCTTCCTCATTTCGGCACAAACACCTTTGTTTCCCATCGAGCTGAAGAGTCGCTCCGGCACCGAACCGTTTTATCACTGAGGTGACATTGGTCATATTTTCTGACATGACAGTACGAACCAGAGTCTCTGGACAAGATTCACCCTGTTTTAATAAATAATGCACCAATGCAACACTGAATTTCTCTTGGAATCGTGTGGAGGAGGGAACTCTAAATTCCGAGGCCTGGTTTTTAACAGAACAGCTGCAGAAAACTTTTCCACAGATGTTTTTGACCCGTCACTGTTTGTTTTTTCGCAGGATTACGCAAAAAAACCCACGGGACAGATTTCCCCGAGATTTTGTTGGGATCACAGAATTCCTTTAACATCAGAGCCACATTCATTTTTCAAGGAATAATGCACTGATCTACATGTTCTGCTGTTGAGGACTATGTTTTACAAAATGAATCATTTAGGGTATCAGAGCACTTTCTTATTTCTTCTATGTATATATTTACTGCAAGAGCTCATATGTGGGATTGTTTTTCTGATCAGAGACATATTCAACGGGGCGCTGTTGTAAATGTACACGTGGGGAACTGCACACAACTGTCCCACACCAATGAACAGACAGAAAAAAACAGTTTGTAATCCCGGGGAATATACATACTGTTTGTCTGTAATGTCTTCGGTCAACATGCATCATATGTGTTTAAACTTGTGCAAACAGAGTTCATGTGTGTTTGTGTGCACACCTCCACTATGCATTGTGTGCACAGAACTTTATCAACTGTTGACTGTATTTGGAAGAAGGCGGGATGAGCCCACTCTTCAAAGTAAAAACATATTATCATAAAAGCATTTACATTGGAAGAAAGACACACAACGAAAAGAAGACACAACAGGTATCAACCTGCCGTCTAAGATATGTGTGAAATGGTTTGTGTGGTTTATTCACTCTAGTTTAGTATTGTATGATATAACAACTGCCAATGTGTTACTTCCACATAAAGTACAATATATTACACAGGAAATCTATCTATCTATCTATTTATCTATCCATCTATCTATCTATCTATCAGTTCATATAACTATCTATCTATCTATCTATCTATCTATCTATCTATCTATCTATCTATCTATCTATCTATC